TGAAGCACAAGTTAGGTGTCATCAGGACTCTGTATCACAGAGCAGACAGCATCTCCATTAACTCAGGAGCCAGGCAGAAGGAGAAATCCTACACAAGACAGGCTCTAGAGCAATGTGGATATCCTAACTGGGCCTTCCTGAAAGCAGAGAAGAAACCCAAACAGGACTCCAGTCAGCCTTCAGGTGAAAAGGAGGAACCCAGACCCAGACCAGTGGTCATTCCATATGTTGAGGGAGTATCAGAGAAACTGAGATGTTTATTTTCTAAACATAACGTCCCAGTGGCTTTTAAACCCCAAAATACATTACGGCAAAGACTGATTCATCCCAAAGATCCTGTCCCCCGGCACAAACAGAGTAATATTGTGTATGCTGTTCAGTGTCAGGAGGGCTGTGATCAGTCTTACATCGGGGAAACAAAACAGCCACTGGCTAAAAGGATGGCCAAGCAAAGAAGATCAACATCATCAGGCCAGGATTCTGCGGTCTACACTCATCTCCAGGCCAGCGGTCACTCTTTCAGGGATGAAGATGTTCACATCCTGGACAGAGAGGAACGATGGTTTGAGAGAGGAGTAAAGGAGGCCATCTTTGTGAAAAGAAATCATCCATCATTAAACAGGGGTGGAGGCCTCCGGGTTCAACTGTCCCCCTCTTACAATGCTGTGATTGCTAGTGTCACTCAACCCCCTGTGAATAGTAATCAATCAATCAACCTTTATTTAGACAGGTAAATCCCATTGAGCCTCGAGGACTCATTTACAAGAGAGACCTGATTTCAACAAAGAAAGATGACAACAAAGGACAACAGCAACAATAATAAACAATTATAAAAAGTCATAATACAGGTTTTTATTTTTATTTATTTATTTTTTACAAATAGGATGGCTAAAAGGAAAAAAGGAAAAAGGAAAAGGTAACAGTAAACAGAGCATAAGTAACATAATTAAACATAAGTAAACAGCCATCAGTGTGCTAATGATCCATTGTTAGGCTGATGGTCCTTCTTGACCATGTGAGCAGCTGGTTTTGGTTGTCAGCAGCAAACTGGTTGATCCACTCTGAGAAGGTGCTATTTAAGAGACTGAGCTGAATACAGCACCTCAGACTGAGGAAGTCTCTCGGATGAGAGACGAAACGTTTCTACATTTTTTTTGCTTTGTTTTTTTTTTTGTTTGTTTGTTTTCTTGTTTTTTGAATGTCCAGAGGACCAGATTGAACTTTTTTGGATTAAAGTCACTAACCTTCTCAGTCTGTACGTGACAGGTGAAATCCAGAGGCGTGGTCCAATGGTGGTAGCAGAGGTCAAGCACGTTGAAGCAGAGAAGCAAGAACAGGGCCGAGTCGTGATCCAAAAAAGTAGTCAAGGGAGAGCAAGAGTCGTTACCGTGGTCAGATATGCAGACAAATCCAGAAAGGGGCAATGCAAGGCGAGGAGTCAAAAAACAGGCGAGGGTTCAAGGCAAGACAAGGCAAGGATACAAAACTATGGAACAAGATACTATAATTGAAGGCTTCACTATCAGGGACCATGAGTGGTGTAATAATCTCACCCCGAATGAGTGTGGGCATGGAGTTTAAATAGTGGAGAGAACAGGTGAGAGGCATGAAGATTGATTGCGGTGAATCAGCTGAGGGGGCGTAGTGACAGAGAAGTGACATGAGCAGACTTGAAGTGCAGATTGACAGGAGCTGATGTGAACAATGACAGGAGCTGAGGGATAAACAAAACATGAAGGAGAGGGGCAGAAAACATGGCATGTCATGAAGGGGAAGAGAAGTGAGCAGATGGGGGGCCAGCCGGGGCCACTGATCATGACGCATCCCCATGAAAACACAAAAAGTGACCAGAAAAGCTTTTGCAACCATGCTAGGCATGTATGTATGACTGTAACACTGCCACAAATATACACCAAAAACAGCAAACAAGGCATAGAGCACTTCAAACTCTCAACACAGACAGAAAAAAGAACAAGGATAGCAAATTTAAAAGCTGAAGACGAAGGAAATTCAACTTCCGGTCACTTTAAACATAGAGCCCACAAAAGTGCAGGACATCACTGATTTTGAGTCATGTCAGTCCAAACATGTGGGCATAATTAACACATTTCACACATAGTTTCCCAGGAGAGATGCTTGGGGAAAAATTATCCACACAATGTTCAAATCATATTAGGATCAATTCTTTATACACAAATGTCAGACTTTTAGAACACTTAATTTCCATATATTTGGAATCTATACATGACGTATAGTATATGTCTTTTTCTGCTGGGTTTGCTTTACTAATGTTGACAGAGAATGTTCAATAAAGTGATCAAACCCTTTCTGGCTTTATTTGGTGTATTAATGTTAGAGATTTGCTCTGCTCTATTTAAAGACCTTGTTTTGTTCACCATCCTTGTCTGTTCATTGAAGTAATGGTTGAGCAACAGGTATCTGAAACACAAACTCAAGCATTTAATCTGTTGATATTTTTACATAGATCAAAATCTGGATTGTTGGTTAGCAAGAGGTGGAACTATGACATCATTGTATTTGAAAGGTTGCAATTTGGCTGTCTACATAAAAATCCAAAAGTGACATTTCTAGATATTTTGCTCTGGATTCTGGTTTACAAATGTATGCATTTTTGAGGCTCTGATATGAAGACAAATCAGTCTCAAAAGTAGTTGAACAAGTGTACAACAAGATTTGTATGTGTGCAGTAAGATCCACAAGCTTATTACAAGATTCATAAATGCATGAACTCTCTTCTCATGGCAGCAGATTCTGGATTACTTTCTCTCCTCATCCTCCTTGATCTCAGTGCGACTTTTGATACCATCTCCTACAACATCCTCCTCCATAGACTTTCATCCATTGGCATCACCCACACACCCCTCGCTTGGTTTCAGTCATATCTCTCTGGCCGCACTCAGTTCATCCAACTGAAATCATTCAGGTCCCATTCCTCTCCTGTGACTTCAGGTGTGCCCCAAGGCTCTGTCCTGGGGCCCCTTCTTTTCATCATCTACCTTCTCCCCCTTGGTAATATCTTTCGTAAATTTAACATCCATTTCCACTGTTTTGCCGATGACACCCAGCTCTTTTTATCCACTGCACCTAACTCTTCACTTCCTCCCTCCTTCCTCACTTCCTGCTTAGCTGAAATTAAATCCTGGTTCACGTCTAACTTCTTGAAATTAAACAATGATAAAACAGAGTTTCTATGCATTGGCACTAAATCCACCTTATCTAAAGTTAACAGTTTCTCACTCATCATCGACAACTCCTTGGTTTCTCCCTCCCCTCACGTCAAGAGTCTGGGTGTCATTCTTGACAGCACTCTCTATTTCCACTCTCACATCAATAGTATTATCCGGTCTGCATATTTCCACCTTCGAAATATCAACTGTCTCCGTCCATCCCTCTCTCCACACTCTGCTTCCATCCTGGTCCACAGTCTGGTAATTTCTCGAATCGATTGCTGTAACTCTCTCCTCTTTGGTCTGCCTCACAAATTAATCCGTAAGCTTCAAATGGTTCAAAATTCAGCTGCCCGCATCGTCACCAAAACCCCCTCATTTCACCACATCACCCCAGTTTTACAGCAACTTCACTGGCTTCCAGTCACATTCAGAATTCAATTTAAAATCTTGTTGTTCACTTTCAAGGCCATCCACAACCTCGCCCCTCCTTACCTGTTAGATCTCCTGCACATTACCACCCATTCACGCTCCCTTCGTTCTTCCACTTCCATCCACCTTAACGTGCCTCTTGTCCGCCTCAGCACCATGGGACACAGAGCCTTTTCTCACTCTGCTCCCCAGCTCTGGAATGCTCTTCCACCGGACATCCGTAACATTGACTGCCTTCTGACCTTCAAATCAAAACTCAAAACTCATCTGTTCAAGCTAGCCTTTTCACTTTAACTGTTATTTTTAAATGTTATTTTCTTTTTGGTTTAGTGTTTTTAATAGTTATTTTAAATTGTTTAATACTGTGTTTTTAATGCTGTGAAGTGCCCTTGGGTGTTTTGAAAGGCGCTGACAAATAAAATGCATTATTATTATTATTATTAAATCACATGCTGAGGAATGGGAGACCAGCCTAAAAAGAAAAATCACCTTTGTTCTAAATTCAAGTTAACTGACAATAATAAAAGATCTAAATGGCAGGCAGCTTACCGAGGAGTGGGAGCGCAGACTAGCCGGAGAGCAAGTAGATCAGCAGCAGCTCAGAAGAAGGCAGAAGCTGTGCACTGCAAAAGGCTCCAGGTGCAGCCAATAAGATGGAGCAACAATGCTGCAGAAACACACAGCAGGTGTAGCGCCCAAAAACTAGTGAAGTTACCTCTAACACTGAAGCTTCAAAGCATGCTTCAAACTCGACAGGTTAGTTATGGTGAAGCAGTGGGCCGGAGCTTGCTTCATGTGACGTCAACGATGGCGTGTGAACCACTTCACTGCTTCATTCAGACAGAGTCAGCTGACTGCTTCGAGTTGACAGGCTGAGTTTCAAACATCTGGCGAGATTCAGTGTATTAAAGATGGCTCAAGCCCCGGTTCACATCCCCATTTTACACGTATTATATGTTATGAACAGCTCTTGTTTTTTGATATTCAGACAGTGGTTAAATTGAGCCGAATCCTGTCAGAACAAGATAATGGAACTCTATAATTTTGACGGCTCAGATCTGCCAACTCCAAACCCTAAAAGTCCAAAGTCATTACGCATTTTTATTTTGATTATTTATTCAGAGTCAGAGTCAGAGTTTCTTTATTGTCATTCGCACCTCATGTGGT